CGTTGGCTAACGGAGGGTTCAGATGCAAGTCGGCACGGGTTCCCGTTTATAGAATGAGCTGAAATTTTTACTGGGAGTATATAAACACGTAATAAATATAATTAGAGGGTATGCGTAAAAAAAATAAAAATAAGGGACACCCTAGTATTATACCAAAATTTAGGGAAAAGAATAGGCTTGGTACTTATTTTTTGGACCCATTTTGAGAAAAAAATAAAAATATTTTTTATATCACATTTTTTTGGGCAAAGAATTTGTTTTCGCTTTTAAAACCACCTCTTTCTTAAAGCACGAAAAAATAGATATAGGATATATTATTTGTCGATTAAAAAAAGTCATTTATATTTTTTTATCAACAAAGACTCACAAAAGAAACAGAAAAATTTCAAGCCCCTGTATATCTGCAACCCGTCAGTCTTTTCCGCAGCCCTTTTGCTTAACAAAGTTTCATCAAAATTGGAAACAAATTAAGTTTTTAGTGGGAACACTTGGCGTGTTTTGCCCCAAATGTAAATAAAATAACGGAATGCAACTGTGTACACGATATTGTAATAACAAAAAAATTTCGCGTGCGTTTAACAGTCGTATATCATATGAGTAAGTGACTTGATACTAAATATTGTTTTATTTAAACCTACGTATGTCATTAATTAATAATGGTAATCTAATATTGTCCTGGTTTTAACACGACCCTATATTAAAAAATTCCACTATAATTTGTGAGCTGTTTACTAAATAAAAGTTTACCCAAGCTATTAATATTAAATTATATTTTGGTATTTGTACTAGAATTTATAGAAGAAAAAATATTGTACACCAATTCCTACTTTCTTTGGGACAATTTATTCTTAATTAGTATTTATTAATCGCTTGGGATCCTTTAATGTATTCCTAAATTGTTTAACAGTATGTACGTTGTACATGTACCGGCGGGAGATTCGTAATCCAAAAATAAGAAAAAAAGTATATATAAACTTATGCTTAGTTTCCAAGATATGCGGTTAAGGTTTAACCGTTTAACCGTTAAGCATAAAAAACTTTTTTATTAACCCAAACCCAAAGCACAAGAATTATAAACAGCAAAAATGGCCGCCGTTAAACTATCCCTATTAAAAATGCCATTTAGAACCCATATTGAATCCGATAAAAAACTTATCTGGTTCTATATGGTTTTATATGTCCTATATGGAACGTCCTGGTTTACATTAAGGGATCTATATGGTTAAATATGGAATTCCAATTTAAAATGATCCTTATTCAACCATATAGGACACCTATCTGGAAATACATGTATATTAGGGTGGCCCAAAAAAAAGAATATCTTTTCTCGTCTCTTGTAAAAATATGTTAGTTTATCATGCTGTAAGAGCCCTGTCAAAATATCAGCTCGATTAAAAAATTTTTAGGGGTCACTCAAGATTTTTTTAAATTTTCAAAATTGTCAAAAATTGTCAAAAATTGTCTCGATATTATTATTTTCAAAGTAGTGAATGTTTTCGAGCGACCTCTGAATATAAATTCAGAGGTCGCTCGAAAACATTCACTACTTTGAAAGTTAAAAAAATCTTAAGCGACCTTTAGAAATCAAAATATCCATTTGAAATTTTCACAATCATTATTATTTTTAAATTAAAAAATAATATCGGAACGAGAAAAAAAATTAAAATAAAAAAAAATCCAATTTTTGACGATTTTGGAAATTTTTAAAAATCTTGAGCGACCCCTAAAAAATTTGCCAATTTTTGCGATTTTTGTCTGGCTCCTGTGCCTATTCTACTGAATCTAGAAAGTTATTTTTTTCAGTTATCAAGTTTCTAGACTATCAATTTCTTTATTAAAAAAATTATTCAAACTTGATAATTCTCAAAATTAGCCAATTTTGCCCTCAGAAATCATTATGTTGAGGAAAAAATAAAAATCTGAAACTTTCAGGAAATGTAGTCCCCACCTTCATCTTTTCAGTCCAGTTAATCTTGTTTTATTATTTTTATCCATGTAAAAGTTATAATAATTGTTTTAATGCTAGTTAAGAACCGATATTCTTAGTTTTATTTATAATTTAAAATTTAGATGGCTTTGACTTTGTCAATTCATGTTTGGTGGAGAAATGTCAGAACTGCCAAAAATATTTCATAAATATTATTTGTGCGTATTTCTTTGGTAAATTTTGTATATAACATAATATGTCATATTATGTTATATACAAAACTTTTTAAAGTCACCAAAGGAATACCACAAATAATAATAATTATGTATAATAATTATTATGATTATATATATAAATAATAATATATATAATTATTATGAAATATTTTTGACAGTTTAACCATTCCACGCTACTCGGGAATTTTTGTAGCGTCCGTTACGATTAAAAGCTACCGCAATTAAATTAAATACGTACTGTTACAATAGTTAATATTGCAAACATGTTTATTATCCTTGTAATAATTAGGCTTAAACTTATAAGCATAATAATTACTGTAGTTTTACTCACAATTTTTTATTGTAACAGACGCTACAAAAATTCCTGAGTAGCGTGGAATGGCTGAGTTCTGACTTTATATATTTGGTAGGGTCAGTTAACCAGTAATTGACCATCAACCAGTTATTGACCAATGTACCGATTAAATGATAAAAGCAAGGTCCCTGTATTACCTAATTAAAAACTTATATTATTTGCATAGTGATTTACCCCTTAACTTCTAGATGGCACAGTTTTATTAATGATATCTGCTTACAAGGCATTGGTCAACCACTGGAAAATCATGAATTTTCGTGCATTAATTTTTTTTTCGTCGGCATAGAAACTCTTTTTCTTTTTTAGTCAGCTGTTATCAAATCTTAAAACAAAATTAAACTCAATGATATTTTTTATTTTATTTTAAACTAAAAATAGAGGAAAATATAATAATTTATTCACGAAAATTTCCTTAACTGGTCAATTACTGGTTAACTAACCCTATATGTTATATTTTATATATTGTATAATCATTTAATTCTTTAATTGGTCTTTAAAGAAGAATCTGGCTCAAACTGTTTCTCGCTTTCTTCCGTTTCATAAGAACATTGTGCATCTGTGTTTTCGTTTGTATTTTGTAAAATATTATTTTTGCTTATTAAGCTTATTATATTATAGCAACGGGTACAAATTGCCAATCCTGGTATAAGTTTTAAGTAGTTATTTTCTTCGCAAAAAGATAAGGCTATTTCCCGTAAAGATTTTGAGATTATCTTTTTATGAATTGCTAATGGATCACAACACTTAATGCCAAACCGACTATAAAACTGATCCAAAATTTTTTTATAATGTACAAATATTTACAATTGATGAAATGCCAATACGTCTAATTCGTAGCTGTTTATCCACTTCACTTATTTCACTTTCCGATATCAACCATATACATTGTTTTGTTACATTCTTCTTTTTTGAACAAACCAATCGAATGATAATGATAATGATAATAATGATAATGATATGTACAAATATTTACAATTGATGAAATGCCAATACGTCTAATTCGTAGCTGTTTATCCACTTCACTTATTTCACTTTCCGATATCAACCATATACCTACATACATTGTTTTGTTACATTCTTCTTTTTTGAACAAACCAATCGAACACTCCATCATTTATTACACTTGCAAACTTGCAAACTTTTTGAAATCACAAAATAAATAGGCACAAATAATATTTATGAAATATTTTTGACAGTTCTGACACTTCTCTACCAAACATGAATTGACAAAGTCAAAGCCATCTAAATTTTAAATTATAAATAAAACTAACAATATCGGTTCTTAACTGGCATTAAACAAAATTATATTATCTTTTACATGGGGGTCATTCCACGTTACTCGGGGATTTTTGTCCCGCCCGTCACAATTAAAAATTGTGAGTAAAAACTACACGTTATAAAATTTATTTTAAAATATTGTTTATTATGCTTTTAATAAGTTATAAGCACAATAAAAATAATATTATAAAATATTAATTTAATAACTTGTGGTTTTTACTCACAATTGTGACGGGCGGGACAAAATTACCGAGTAACGTGGAATGCCCCATGGATAAAAATAACAAAACAAGACTAACTGGACTGCAAAGATGAAGGTGGGGACTACATTTCCTGAAAGTTTCAGATTTTTATTTTTTCCTCAACATAATGATTTCTGAGGGCAAAATTGGCTAATTTTGAAAATTATCAAGTTTCAATAATTTTTTTAATAAAGAAAATGATACGTTTAATAAAGAGAATGGTTACGTTTTCTATTGTATAAACTTTATACCTGAAAAAATTATTACAAATCTTTATCATTCTTTTGTGAGATGAACTAATTAGATAATAATAATTAATATTAAAAACATACTTAATAGGCAGTAAAATAAAATTACAATAATTTCAATAATTGCCACAGAAGAAAGTTTTAGCCTCTTATAAGAGAGTGAGAAAATGAAAAGGTTTCTTAAGGGTGCCGATTAAAAGTAAAGAAACTAAAAATTAAAACGACAACGGTTTTTCATATATGACACCTAAAAGATCATCCTCAAATTTTTTCATTACAATAAAAAATCATGCAGCGCACTTTTAAATTCATTTTTGGTGTTTTTATTTAGATTGACTCATATAGAATCCAGATACCATATGGTTCTATATGGCATTTTCAATGTGGGATGTACAGTGTTGCAAGGATTTTTAGTATGCACGAAACGATATAAAACAGACCTTATTGTGTGAATTGTGGTCTGTTTTATCTCGTTTCGCGCATACTAAAAATCACTGCAACACTGCACATAATCTAACGGCGGCCATTTTTTATGTTATTTACAATTCTTGTGCTTTGGATTTGGGCTGTTTATACAGATTAAAAATCGTTTTAAACGTTGTTTCTTACAGAGGCACTTGTAAGCCTCAATGAGGCCTTTTGGATGACGACTCTCCAGCCGGGAATGGGCGCATGTTTTTAAAACCCTGTATTTTACTTACACTTTATTTTTAGATAAATTTTGTATTATTTGTAATTATTTCAATTGTGCTGTATAGTAAATTAAGATCGCCTATAAATGAAGATTCCTGTCGATATAAGAAATGGGCAAAATCAACTCTAGTTTTAATGCCATTGTTTGGTGTGCATTATTCGATATTTTTAGTATTTTATTTTGTTAGAAAAGCTGAGGACACCATTGAATTGATTTGGCTAATTTGTGACCAATTATTTGGAAGTTTTCAGGTAAATGATAAAATATTTTATTGTATTGTATAAATAAATTTGAGATTTATGTTCTTTTGTAGGGATTTTTTGTAGCTATTCTATACTGCTTTCTAAATGGAGAAGTGAAATCCGAATTAAAACCTCATATGTGCTCTATTTTAACATATATGGCTACACGTAAATATTTAAGATTTTGTTTTCCCTGCAGGGAAAAATATTTGAGGTGAGATTGTTAAAATAAAAAATTAATACACATTTAAAAAGGAATATTTTTAAGCAATACTTAAAGTATAAATCAATAAAACAAAATGATTTTAAATTACTTTTTAAAACTACAATCGAAAGCTGTGGCAAGAAAAAGCAATGTTAAGTGAAAGGGTCAAAAAGCTGGTAGCAGGAAACTTGCCGACCCCTTCACTTTTCATGTTTTTAAAGAGGCTTGGCCAAAGCAAAGGAAGCCTTATTTTCAAGATGGAAATTTTGTCACAGTATACTGTTTATTTATATATAAATGAAATCCCAAAAATCGACTTTAAGACTCATTCCACATAAATTGATTTGAGCAAAATCAACAACAAGAAGTTTAATTTTTTATATTGCTTTGTTTCATACTTTGCTGTTTGGTCATTTTGACCCTTTTAGAATGACAATTTACATTTTCAGATCAGCTGTGGGCAGGACATCAGTTTGCACGACTATGTCATGTAGCTCCTTGTATACAAACGGCCTAATTCATCATCGAAACAGTAAAACTAAATCGACAGACGCAAAAATCAAACACCTAAATTCAAGCGTGGAAAAAAGGGATCACATCTGTGCAAATGGGAAAAATATAAATGGCAAGAACAAACAAAACACGACATGTAATACAAACGGAACAGTAAGTAAAAAGTGTAATAATGAACTAAATGAGATAATAAATGTTATTTTTACTTATAGGCTGAAACAACTTTAATGACTGATATACAACATGAAAAATACATAGCTGATCAAATAATTATTGAAGAGGAAATAATATTGACGAAAAATTTCCATTAAAGAAATTTGACGCATCCTTTCAAATAAAACCAAAAATACAAAGTTAAAACAGGGACATATCATATTTTTATACCAATTAAAAATAAGTAAATGTTATTAATTATTTAAATTATAAATATGTATAAGAATCGTTAAATTAAATTGAATGTATCATTCTTACTCTAATTTATTTTAAAACTTGATGTATACTCCATTAGATATTTTATATTATTTTTTACATATGAAATAATAAATGTAAGAAATTTGTGTTATAAGTAAAATAAAAATTAAGATTTTACAGAGTTTAACTTTTTTAAATAATAATGCCTTTAAAAAAAAATAAGATATAATTAAAAAATCACCACAAAAATGGAAAACAGAACAAAAAACAGAACAAGAGAACAGAACAAAAAACAGAACACTAAAAATCTTCTTCAAAACTTTCAACAAAGATTTTTCTATTTACATCCTTTTCTGAATCTACCAAATTAAGGCACTTATCAATGTGTTTATTCATATCCTTTTGCAATATTAACTTCATACAGCAAGGGCAGTTATACTTTGCCTCCCCATTAGGTATATCTCTAATTTTCTCATCACTATCACTACTTTCATCAATCTGAGGTATATTGCTATCATCAAAAACATTACTCATACTCATACAGTCTTCTAAGTGAGCATTTAAATCGCTTTTTAATACTTTTTTATCACAGGCCAAGCAGTTAACATTCAAATCAGTATTTATACCAAAAGCAGATTCCATCTCATCATACATTTTTAGGAGACACTTTTCCACATGAGTATCATAATTTTGAGAAGAAACGGATTTTTCACAGGCAGGGCATTTTTTGGTTTCGGCAGTGTTTATTTTATGTGCTAAGAAACAGTCTTTTACATGTTCATCATAATCATTAGAGGGCAGTTTTAAATCACAGTATTTACATGTTTTTGTGTCCGTTGGTAAACCGGATGCTTTTGGTTCAATTAAAACAACACTGTCCTCGTCTCCAAAGTTTTCATTGGTACATTTAATAACATGATTTTCATATTCCGATATATTTATATTTTTATTACATATTATACAGTCTCTTTCATTGCTACCTGCTTCTAAACATGTATCTAAGTGTAAATCTAGCTTGGTCATTTGAATTTGCTTATTACATACAGGGCAGGAAGCCAATTCTGGATATTTTTTAGAGGAATTGATTTCAATGGAAACATTTGTATTTGTGGATAGTTTAGGAACCTTTGTTATAGTGCAAGTTTGGGGCTGGCTTCTTTTATTGTTGCTACTATCTTTCATATTATCAAATTTACTTAGCCAATGATTCCTTACAACGGCATAATCACTATCATCTGTTTTTACAGGACTACTATTTTTATTTTTACTTGTACTCAAACTTTCTTCTATTGTTGGCTGATTATTAGTTTTTGTAGAACTTTTATTATCTTTAGTCCTAGTATTTGTTTTATTTATCACCAAAGTATTGGAACGATTACTAACAGCCCCCTTAATTTGACCTGTGTTAAATCCGTTAATATTATTGCTGCCACTTAGCACAGGTTTGCTTGTTGAAGGTTTATCCAAGTTTGTAAACCCAAAAATATTATTACTCTTTGGAATTACAGATGTTATTTTACTATTGGTGTTTTCATTTAGATTACTTAATGTTTTGATGTTATCTTTATTTTTTGAATTTTCTTTGTCCCCTGATTTACTGGTATACTGTGATGGTGTGACAAATTTTCTAATATCTTCACCTGGTTTTTTAAGAACCGCTGCAGGTTTCTTAGTTGCAGCTGCTAATTTTTTAGCTGACTTTTCAGGTTCCTTTACCTATAATATAAAATAAAATAAATGTGGTAGAATATTTTTGGTACCTCTTTAAATCAGGCTAATGAAATTATTTAAGGCGCTTTTTACAAAAACAGCTATAGTTAAAATTGTTATTTACGTAAACTAATAAAATTATTATTTTTAGACAGTAATCGTAAATTTAGCAATATAATGTATATGAAATTAAAAATAGTCTATATTTATAAGTTTTTATATGATTGTTTTAAACAAAAAAAATAATTAGCAAAATGTTTTTGGACTAAGAAGCGTAAGAAGGTAAATTTCACTTAAAAACAAGGGTCACCCTTAATAATTATGCGTCACAAAAAATTCACATTTTTTAATTTGTTAAAGTTTTAATTGTTTACATTATTTTTATTTATTAAAATGCCAATTTTGGAGGACAACAGTCCAATTTTATACATAAAAAATGAAATGTAAAAAATATTACCTTAATAAATGTTCCACCACAAGTACTTGAATGTTCTCCCCACCAGCGATCATTGGGTCCAGGTGCTCTGTTTTGTGCTCTCCTGACCATGCCAAAGAAAGGTTTCCTTTTTTGGCAAGGCCCATCACATTTCCACCAGTGCTGCTGATATAATCTGACTTCATCGTGAAAATCATGATAAACTGAAATATTTGTTCCTAAAATAATAATGTAGGTATAGTTAAATTACAGGGTGTCCTAGGTAGTAGCAAAACTAAAAATGTATGTCCCAATATTGCTCCTTTCTGATATACAGGATATTAAAGTTTTATTATCTTTATTAATATTAATATTACGTTCGTTCACCCTCACTCCTGAACGCAAACTTGATAATTAAATTGCCTTTATCAAATTTTTTAGTGAATTTTTTCCTGAGAATATTTTCAATAAATCAATATATACATTTTTTAAGTAGACAGGAATATAATTTTATTAATACATTTTACCAGGGACAGCTCATAAGAAAAAAATTTAAAAAAAGTTTCCTGGTATACTTAATATTAAAAAACAAAAATACTATAAATGAGCCCTGTATACTATGATAGTATTTATAGATACAAAAGTATGTTTGCAAAAAATTAAAAAGTGAGGTTTTGATGAAAATAGACTTCTATTTTATATAGAGATGCAAGGTTAATTAAAAACTGTAGATAAAAATTTTAAATGCTCAAATAATATTTATTCAATCATAGATGCATTTTACAAATATAGAGCATTAGTGATGTAAACTGAAAAAAACGGTTTATTTTTAAACATGTTTTTTAGAAAAAAACAAAGCGGTTTGTTTTTATCACAAACATTATTTTCCTTAATAGAGATTCTCTATTTTATATTATTGCATGCAGTATGAGTGTTAACGCATTGATCTGTTACTTATTTATAATAAGTTATTATACTTGAGTATTCATAAGAAAAGGGTATTCCCCGGAAAGAGTTGCGGCATGACGGCAGGAGAAGGTTAACAGTACTAAGAGGCCTATTCCCTTTCTTGCTGTTATATAATGTATAATATATACATCGATTTCTTAACATGTATGTTCAACCCAACGACAACCCAAACAAATGTTATTATGATATCACCTATGTTTAAGGCTATTCTGTTTCTCATATGTAGAAGGTCTTGACCTTGAATCTTTCTGAACAGCGATAAATGTTTCTAGGATAGAGAGAATCTTAGTTTTATATTCTTTTTCTATGTTTATAACCTAAAACATAATTATTTTAAAAATCATTGGTGATATTTAATAATGAACTTAAAAATAACTTAGGAAAATCCACAAATTCTAAAAATACTTGGGAAAAACTTTTTATGCTGAACTAGCCAAAGCACAGATCTTCTGGCGGGGCCATTAAGTCCCTCCTTAAATGGAAAAGGGTAATCATAAAATATATTAAAATAATTATTTGTTACTTCTTTTTACACATACTTTAAGTGACTTGAAGGCCCATGGCAAGAAAACTACGCATTTCTCACATGGAGACTGGCAATGTCGAGGAGCCAGTAAAACAACTTAATGACATTGAGGATAAATTACTAGCCCTAATAAAGGAAGCGCTGTGAAAGTTAGTGGTGGAGGAATTACCATTGTTGTAACTCTTCATTGACCAGCCTTTAAGGTTATGAGAAAGTCGAACTCAAACTTTGATGAGTAGCAAAGGTGTAGAGGTTTTAAAAGGTACCTATTCATAAAACCTAAAATAGATTATAAAATTAAACCAAAAAGTTTTAGCTCCCATATAAAGAAAAAAGTTAGAAGAGTTTTTAGAAGCATATTTTTTTGTATTTTATTAGTTTTTTTTTGACTAATTTTTTGTCTATATTTTTGAGTAATATTATTACATACATAGGTATTTGATATTTTATATTTCTTGTATTTTTTTAATAAACTATATTTTGTCCAAGTTATTTTTTATTCTACCAATATACAGGGTGTCCGGGAAAAGGAGGTCAATCCGTTAACCATATATTCCTTGAGTTAAAACAATAAGACTTTCATAATACCATTTTTCAATTTAGAGCTTCATGTTCGATATACAGGGCGACAAAGTTTGAAATTAAAAACTGATTTTTTTTAATAATTCGAGTAATTGATAAGATACTAAGTTTAAATTCGGTACACTACTTCAACATAAATAGTTACATTTTTTGAGACCAACAAAACAAAAAACAATTGTCAAATAATCAAAATAGGGGGGTCCAGTACTCACTGACTCCCTCTATTTTTTAGTACGTGCGCCAATGACTTCCAAACGGAATTTTTTCAGGTAATCATTTATTGTTGAAAATGTTTTGTCTCTTATAAAATTTTGATAAAATGATTTGTTTTAGAGATAATTTGTTAAGTATGGGTCAGTCCATATCAAATTTTCAAAATTTAATTTTTTTTTTGAAAAAATGTAGGTCATGTTATATATCATAAAAAAGTTCTCTAATAGGCCTTTAAAATAAGCCATCACTCACCTTTCTACCTTTAATAGTTTACGAGATATCGCTATTTTTGTAAGTACTTGCAAGACCCAAATTTATCGAAATGTTTTGATTTTCAAAAATCAATAAAACAAAAACCACCTATCGAAAAAAATTCATATATGGAATTTTTAAGTTTTTTAGTGAGGTAAACAAATTTACCAAAAATGATCAAAATCGGAGATGGTGGGGGAAGAACCTTTGGTTGATTTGATATGGACTGACCCATACTTAACAAATTATCTCTAAAACAAATCATTTTATCAAAATTTTATAAGAGACAAATTTTTTTTAACAATAAATGATTACCTGAAAAAATATATTTGAAAATTGTTTTTTGTTTTGTTGGTCTCAAAAAATGTAACTATTTATGTTGAAGTAGTGTACCGAATTTAAACTTAGTATCTTATCAATTACTCGAATTATTAAAAAAAATCAGTTTTAAATTTCAAACTTTGTCGCCCTGTATATCGAACATGAAGCTCTAAATTAAAAAATGGTATTATGAAAGTCTTATTGTTTTAACTCAAGGAATATATGGTTAACGGATTGACCTCCTTTTCCCGGACACCCTGTATATAGTTTTTAGACACTCTGCCTCCCTTGTAACATATGTATATTAAGTGTTTACGCGATGCTAATCCCGAACTAGTTCGGACATCCTAGGCATGCGCATTTTAATATTTGTCATACGCACTTTACATGTTGAACCCCAAATTTTAAAAAGCGCATGCCTAGGATGTCCGGAATTAGTTCGGGATTAGCTCCGCGAAAATAGCTATTGTCAAAGTCTTGACCTCCCTCCCCCCAAATTCTCACTTTACACTCAGATTTTTTGAATTTTCTGTTTTTTCTAAATAAATATAATAAAATTTATATAAATTTTATTAAAAAATTCAGTAATGCAAAATTTTTATTCTGGTATTATAATTAAGAAATACATTTTAATAATTACAAAAACAAATCATTAAAATATTTTTAAAGTTACCAAAAATTACATTTTTAGTTGTTTGGTGTGAAACCTTATGTGATTTATCCTATTCTCATTTATAAATAATTATTTATCATTTATAATTATAATTAATTAGGTATTTATTATGAAAAAGTAATTAATTCATAATTACTATGTATAGCATATATGCTTGATAATGATACTGTACTGTATACTGTACCAAACATCGCCTTAATTTATAAATAATGCAAGATAAAAAACCTCAAATATTGGCTAACAGCGTTGGTAAACATACGTTTTCAAACATCATGTATGTGAACTAAACACCAAACAGCGAATTTTGGAAACGAAATAACCATTTAGACACCGATGATGTTTATAAACATGGATATTTAAGAAATTCTTTGAGCGCATGCGTCTATAGACGAAATAATTGAGGGAATATATGTTACGAAACATATGTAGTTCATGAACATGCATGTTTATCGAAAGGGAATAGGCCTCTAAAACTGTACAGCTAATCTGTCAAACGACGTTTTCTGATAGAAATCACCCATTTTTCTTGTATCAGGATGTATTTTGGTCCAACCTTGAAGTTTGTATGCTACTATGGTGTCTTTAAGACACTCTAGATGGCGACACTTGTCGTTGTCATAAATTGTATACTTTTTTCATATAAAACAAAATCTTTTTAATTAATATGGATACTTTTATTATAATTTGAAAAAAACAATGCATGATCAGAGCTGTCTTTTAGGATGCACAGTGCTAGGTAAAAAAAAGTGTCTTGTAAATTTCTTATAATTACACTGACTGCAAACTCATACAGGTACTTTTGCATTTACAGGGCTTAAATAATGCATTTCAATTAGATATAAATGCTTACCAAATTAATTTATAATTTACCCACAATTGTGAATTTATCTATTGAATTTTAAAAGGTTATAAAGAAAATATTGAATAAAAATATAAATGCAATACCTCTAATAGTATATTATGTTACATAATTACGATAATATTATAATACATAATTTATGTATCAAGTTTTATAAATGCCATTACGACCGAAGCTTGCAAGCGAGTGTTTAATAAAAACGAGTGTCTAGAGAAGTTTATAAAACGAGTTGCATAGGTACTTCACTTTATCTAAATTATTTTATTATCTCAATACAAAAATACAAAAATATTAAATAGTTTATCAACGCCAATATTTGAAAAGTTTATATGAACATTGGACTGACCTTTTAATTTCGCCGGCAGTAAACTATAACTTAAATTCAGGCACGGACTCTACTGTAAAGTCCTCATAAAACATTTCCTTTACTTTCACTGTGAAAAACTGTCAATTTTCAAGATATATTTCGATTTATAACCTTTATAATTGTGTTTATAAAATGTAAAAATTTGACATTTGACAGTTTAGATGGCGCTCTATACAAATTTTTGATTTAAATAATTTTAAGATAATAATAAGTATTTGTCGTAGAAAAAGTATAGTATGCACCTCGTTTATAAACTCTTCTATACACTCATTAACTTAAGCACTCAAACTTGATACATAATATACTATTTCCGAGACTATTTCACATTTAGTATTATTTTACAAGAGAGGCAATTTATTTTAACGATTGTATGAAATTTGACAACTGTCAACTAACTTAGAACTAACTTCAGCCCGTGACTAAAAACCTGTTGCTAACTTCAGCCTGTGACTAAAGCGCCATAAAGCCACAACTTGTCAATGTGTATTTAAAAGGTCACTTAGTGTCATGGAAACATGTACAATAAAGGGCGTTTTAAAGGTGCACCTTTACTCCTAATAGCAAACACTCTTCCTCTTAAACAAAGAATCTTAGTCTATGATTCCTATATTAAGAGTCAATTGGCATACCTCATACCTTTTTGGGCAACAGCAAACGAAACCGCTAAAAAATCGTTGCAGCGAAATCAAAATAAAATATTAAAGATTATGCACAAAATGGACAAATACATGCCTACTGAACAACTTTATAAGATCACCAAACAGCTAAATATCGAAGAGCTTAGACAACTAGAAACCCATAAATTAGTGCACAAGATCATAACAAATAAGATACTGGATGAAGAAGTAACATTTAGAAAAAGAGCGGACACACATGAACATAATACAAGAGGACGTGAACAAATAGACATAGAAAGAGCCAAAACAAAATATGGAGAAATGAAAATAAAACATCAAGGGTACAAACTATACAACAAATTACCAGAGAATATAAAAAACCTACCCGAGACCACTTTCAAAACCAACTTGAAGACTTTTATTTTGCACCAAAGAATATCTACTTAATATATTTACTTATTTATTATTTATCATATAAATCCAATATTATACATACTTATTTATTTATTATATTTATACTTATCCGATATTATCGCTACTGTGATATTTAGGATGTACTTTTTTAAATAAAAAAAAATAAAAAAAAAAACTCCCATGGGAGTAGAAAATAGTACCTATTATGTATCAAGTTTGATAAACGCCATTTTATACACGAATTTAAGTTAGGCACGAGCGAGCTTGCGAGCGAGTGCTTAAGTTAATGAGTGTATAGAAAAGTTTATAAATGAGGTGCATACTATACTTTTTCTATGACAATTACTTATTATTATCTTAAAATGGTTTAAATCAAAAATTTGTATAGAGCGCCATCTATGAAATAACAGGGGAAACTGTGAAATGTCACATTTTTACATTTTATAAACACAATTATAAAGGTTATAAATCCAAATGTATCTTGAAAATTGACAGTTTTTCCGAGTTTTTCATAGTGAAAGTAAAGGAAATGTTTTATGAGGACTTTACAGTAGAGTCCGTGCCCGAATTTAAGTTATAGTTTACTGCCGGCGAAATTAAAAGGTCAGTACAATGTTCATATAAACTTTTCAAATATTGGCGTTGAGAAACTCTTTAATACTTTTATATTTTTGTATTGAGATAATAAAATAATTTTTACATTTAGTATTATTTTACAAAGGCACTTTATTTTAACGATTGTATGACATTTGACAACTGTCAAATAACTTAAAACTAACTTCAGCCTGTGACTAAAAACCTGTTGCTAACTTCAGCCCGTGACTAAAGCGCCGTAAAGCCGCAATGTGTATTTAAAAGGTTACTTAGTGTCATGGAAACATGTACGATAAAGGGCGTTTTAAAGGTGGGAGTAGAAAAAATATATTAAAAAAAGGAAGCAAAATCTTTCCATATTTCATTGACCAACCTTTACTTTATGGTAAATTATAGGCTGCTAAAATTATTAAGATATAGACTGGACCACTCTGTATGCCACCAATTTACCTGCTGCATTGTTAATTCTGTACATATGCTTATGAAATTCCGGTCCATGACCATCTCTATCCCTGTTATTATTTGTCACAAACAATAAAGCATGAATCATTTCATGCAATAAGGTTTCAACCAAGTCTTTTCTGGGCCTTAATTTTAATAGAGGTTCACTTAAAGTAATGCTACACATTCCACTTCTTCCTTGGTATGAACATATTCCAGCACATGACGTCATTCTTTTACTCCAAGAAACACATACAGATAAAAGTTTATTCCAAAAAAATCTTTCATTAAATGCCATAAATAAGTTGTGGATATCTGGAGTTGGGTCTATAACCTCCCAGGAAGGGTCTATTAAACATTTAGTGGAGTTTAAATCTACATTTTTCTTTTTCTTACTCTCATACACGAGATCATTAATAGGGTTGCTAATTTCTTGTTCCTTTTTGAAATCTTCTTGCAAACGAAGGGCTAATTCATGGTCAGAACTATGTGCACTTGTTGTTTTTGATTCCTGTTCAAATTTGTGTTGTAATATTAATGCCATTTGATAATCTAACTCACTCATTTTGCACGTTTTTAAATTAATCCTCCAATAAAGGTTAAGGCATTTGAGCACAAAACAAAACTAGAAGTGGAGTATAGCAAAGACATAGACATAGACATAGTTAAAAGCGCATTTGAGTCAAATGATTTGACATCTGCTTCAAAGATCCGCTTTTTTTTACTGACATCTATACAGTGCTGCCAAATCTACGAATTTTATAAACCATTCGTAATTTTTACAAAATTTAAAGCTAAAAAAAACTAATTTTCTAAACAGTTTAGACTAAAGTTTACATAATAAACTTTACATAAATTTGGTATAACATCTATGACGTCACAGTTCTCTATTTGCCAATATTCAATGTTAACGTTTTGATGCGGATTTATATGCATAAAATCATGACTATTTTTTAGAATTTGTGGATTTTCTGAAATTTGTGGATTTTTCTTCAGAAATTCGTTGTTTTTAATAATATATTATTATTATGTTACCGTATCTGGGGGTTGATTTATGTCTACAATAATTGTCTAGGTACTTCTATTATTTTAATCTTAAAAGAGGTTTCATATAGATGCGAAATGCTATTTGCCATGGTATTTTAGGGACTTAATTTTCTCCCCAGGCGATATTTGCCATACTTAGGGTTGCCATACGTCCGTTTTTTTAACGGACAGTCCGTTTTTTTTCAGGGCGTCCGTTTGTCCGGTCCGTTATTTTTTTGTGTCCGTTATTTTTAAAATTTAGAATCCAAAATTAAACCTTATATTAATAACTTTAACGCTTAAACATAAATGGTAACAGTATAAATATTATTTCTTGCATTGACTATACTTTGACAGATCATAACCTGAAAAGCCTTAAATGACAAATTTTCAAAAGACTGCGTTCCGTACGTGGTCACGTGGTGGGACTTTGAAGTGTGGAGCATAGTACCTCTATGTCTTCCAAATAAATAGAAAAGTTTTTTTTTCATTATTTTATTTTTATTAGTTTATTTTTAGAATATTTATGAATGTTTTTTAAGCTGACTCTCTATCTTTATTTAGGTAATAAATATTTAAAAAAAAAGTTTTTTTGTCGGGGGAAGGGGGTAAGTCCGTTATTTTTTGAAATAAAATATGGCAATCCTAGCCATACTTGGTTAACATTTTCTATTTGTTGTTTTATGTAAATTGAGATTTTGTGTTTTTATTATGGATAAATAATTATACCAGTGGCAATTATACCATTGGCGACGATGGCGTGCAATTGCGATTGTTTATTGTTAAAATGAAGACAGAAAAATTCTGCCGATTTTCCCAAAATATTGAATCAATCTCAAGATTCCAGCCCCCCATTTCAAATCTTGCAAATTCGCAGGATCTGTCGAAACGTCAAAACGCTTTTCCCGCCAAATTAAATGGACCAATGAAAGCATTTTTCGTATTTCGCATCTACGCAGGACCTGCGTCGCAGGTACACTGCATTGTGCCATAAAAAAAAAACAACCCAAACTTAACACGTTATTTTTAAAGTACATTCTGGGTGCGTTACGGGTCAGAACTGCCCCTTATTAGTTTTGCACAGAGTGCGTTACGTTGTATATGTATATATGTGTCCCGTTACGGGACTCCCGTATGAGTCCCGCTATGTGTCCCGTTACGGGACTTCCGTATGTACGGTGTTTTATTCCTAACTTTGTTGGTACATGCTTAAAGTAGTGAGGATCGATTCGAATTAAGTGGGCAAAGTAATCTAGAGGCTTAGTTTTATAATTCACTGCGACCGCACGGGGCTCCTTACAGAAATTTACATTTTATTGCAAAAAATCTTTTTTTTTTTGTGAAAAATATTAATTTTGTGGTATAAAATAAGAATTAAAAAATACTTTCCCATGACTTTTTTCTTCAAATTTATTATAAAGTGTTTTTCATGTTCCGATTTTTTTTCGAATTCTATTTATTATAGTCAATTTACAGAATTTAATTATTTTTATTTAAAAAAGTAATTTTTTTGTGAAAAATATTAATTTTATGACATAAAATTAGAATTATAAAAAAAATTTTAATTTTTTTTAATAGACCTATCCCATAAAACAGACTTTTGGATAGCGCGTGCCTGAAGAAGAGTGGTATCTCTTTCTCTTTTATATAATTAAAAAAAGACGACGTGCCTTTTCACGCACGCGCTATCCAAAAGTCCGTTTTATGGGATAGGTCTATTTTTTGGTTTAATTTTATAGCCAAGACCCTTATAGCCAAGACCCTTACGTTATGCGCAGATCGTCAAAAGTCACTGCTTGACGATGAATCCCGGGGTACCGGCCGTACCGCACACAGTGAGAAATTTATCATCCAGTGCGTTACGGCCCATATACCGTACCTTCATTTGCAAGCTAACCATAGGGAAAATACATTGTAACTGGACCAGATAAGTCGCAGTCAACACAAAGCGAGAACCTTTTCAGAAATGATTTGGATGCGTCGTCGAGACATGCGTACTAAAACAAATTTTACCAGATTTACACCGCACAAATTGACCATATGCAAGGAATTCGGTCGATGTTGCCAATGGTAAAAAAATAAAATTCCCAATATTGGGAACATTCAATTATATTACGTTGGATAAACTGAAAATTTGAATTTCCCGCACAAACTGACATACATTCTAGGAGTTCCCAGAGATAAAGAAGAATGTTGTATAATAAATTAAGGTGCGAATTTCAAATGTGGGAATTATTATTATTTATTATTATTAAAAAAAAAGATGGAAATTAATTTAGTTTGTGCGGGAAATTCAAATTTTCAATGTAGCCAACGTAATATAATTGAATGTTCCCAATAGGGAATTTTATTTTTTTACCATTGGCAACATCGACCGCATTCCTTGCATATGGTCAATTAAAAAACAATAATAAAGCATCGATGTATGAAGCAAGGTCAACTGTTACGGCGCATGCTAGCCTACTCGTCCACGCGTCCAAATCATTTCTACAACGTTTTTCGCTTCGTGCTGACTAAGACTTATCTGGTCCAGTTACAATGTATTTTCCCTATGGTTAGCTTGCAAATGAAGGTACAGTATATATATTCCGTATTATTTTTGGGGCGAATAAAATTAACAATAAAGCATATACCTTCCTATAACTTATAGGTATACGCAATAAAGTATTGATTCGATTTGTACCAATATCTTGAAAGTTTACTGAGTTATTGCTTCCTGCATTTTAAGAAGGATATGCTTTATCTAAAGCCGCACAGCAGGCGAATGCGTTACGGGGTCGTATCAACTCCGTAACGCAGCGAACGTGTTAACAACCCAACCCAACCGACTCCGCCCCATATGGGCCCAATATTAGGCCCCCCACCCCATTGCCACAATCCAGCCTGCTCTTAGATATATTATACTTCTATTGCAATAGAAGTATAATAGCATGCTCAAATTTAATTTTTAACGTGGGAAAAAGTATTTTTAGTACCTACAATGTAGGTCCTACATACATACATACATATTATAATATAATAGACTTCCAAACAAAATGTTTTAATGCTTACGATATTTTGGCAAAAAGTCATCGATATAATAAACAGAAATACCTACTCGTTAATTCCACGAGTATTTTTTACGAGTACATTGAATTTGGTTTGTAACTACGATTAAAATAAAAAATACTTATGAGTAAAAAAGTACTCGTAATTTTTTACTCGTAATTGAAATGCGAGTAAAAGTACTCAGTACTTGTCCAGCTCTGCTCTCTGGCCTAAACTCTGTCCTAAAAATTTTAGGCTAAAAACCATGGGGTAATTCCATTTATTAGCCACCAATGAGTGCACCTCATATACTCTAATTTTATTTCTTTTTTAACTGTAAATAGACATGGACCCAAGAAGTGAAAAAAACTCCCCTTTTCTTTTCTCCCCCTATCACCTATTTATACAGGGCTACGCAAAAGTTACTATGCAGACCTAACTTAAAAAAATTGTACTTTTTTTGCTAATAAAGCTATCGACATTAAACAAACTGTTAATTGTTAAGAAAATATTTCTCTTTTAAACCATATAGGACACATTTAGTTATTGATGCCCTAAATGGTCTTTGGGAATTTTTTTAAAAATGCAATTTTTTGGCAAAATTGTCTAATTTTATAAATTCATATATTCTTAGAACAACTTGCCAGCAAAATTTTTTTAATGTAGTTTGTTACCATAGATCTTACTCTATATAAAAGCAATGAAAACATTTTCAAATAATATTGGCTAAGAGTTCAAAAAAATATAATAAAAATCTATGTTTTCGAAAAATCACTATTTTCAGCCATTTCATGGTTTAAAAAGGCTATGTTTGAGTGAGTCGATTTAAACCAATTTATGCTTATCATCACATGCACTTATTAGCCTCCAATAATCATTAATAAAATTATTGTGTATTTTGCTTTTAACTGGGCTGTGGCTGTATGTACAGCCCAGCTATAAGCAAAATACACAATATGCCCACCTGACTTTCAGCCATTTCATGATTTAAAAAGGCTATGTTTGAGTGAGTCGATTTAAACCAATTTATGCTTATCATCAAAGGCACTTATTGGTCTCCAATAATCATGAATAAAATTATTATGTATTTTTCTTTTAGCTGGGCTGTGGATGTATATGTCCACCTGTGACTATATCCATATTATTAACCATATATTATTAACCATATATTTCGAAAAAAGCGTATTTCATCTTTAAAATAACTTAACAGCCTTGAATTGACTTCTAATTCATTCTAAATAAAAATATAAAATATAAAATATAAAAACCACATACAGTGGCGTCGAAAATTAACTACCCGTTTATTTATTTTTTAAATTAAGAAAACATAATCAAATGTACAAAAAATTAATTAAATGACTAAAAGACATACTTTTTATAAACTTTATATTTAAACAAAATAAAACAGGTATTAAATCCTAAATTTGAATGAAACCTAACTGCATACCTATAATTAAACTGAAGAAATCATATTCTTAACTTTTACAATCACCTAAAAAACCTATTTACTATTTTTTACCTCTAAAAAGTTATATGAATCGGAAAATTTTCTTATGTGTATAATGCCTATCAAGAGGAATAAATTAACGACTTATGGCCTTTAAATGGATCGCAGCAGACTTCACCAAAAATGTTGGTAAAATTATATAGATACTTTAATTTGTGATACCTATGTACAAATATCGTTTACAGTTGCATCCACTCGCCATTCTGTTATTTGTTTTCCTCCTTAGTACAAGATTGAATCTTGGAAAATCGCAAACAATATTTTTATCCGAAATCTGCCGAAAGTAGTCAACAATCGGCAAAGTAAAAGAAATAAAGTTCTACTTTACTGCCGAAGTATGTCTTTTAGTCATTTAATTAATTTTTTGTACATTTGATTATGTTTTCTTAATTTAAAAAATAAATAAATGGGTAGTTAATGTTCGACGCCACTGTATGTGGTTTTTATATTTTATATTTTTATTTAGAATGAATTAGAAGTCAATTCAAGGCTGTCAAGTTATTTTAAAGATGCAATACGCTTTTTCGAAATATATGGTTAATAATATATGGTTAATAATATGGATATAGTCACAGGTGGACATATACATCCACAGCCCAGCTAAAAAAAAAATACATAATAATTTTATTCATGATTATTGGAGACCAATAAGTGCCTTTGATGATAAGCATAAATTGGTTTAAATCGACTCACTCAAACATAGCCTTTTTAAATCATGAAATGGCTGAAAGTCAGGTGGGCATATTGTGTATTTTGCTTATAGCTGGGCTGTACATACAGCCACAGCCCAGTTAAAAGCAAAATACACAATAATTTTATTAATGATTATTGGAGGCTAATAAGTGCATGTGATGATAAGCATAAATTGGTTTAAATCGACCCACTCAAACATAGCCTTTTTAAACCATGAAATGGCTGAAAATAGTGATTTTTCGAAAACATGGATTTTTATTATATTTTTTTGAACTCTTAGCCAATATTATTTGAAAATGTTTTCATTGCTTTTATATAGAGTAAGATCTATGGTAACAAACTACATTAAAAAAATTTTGCTGGCAAGTTGTTCTAAGAATATATGAATTTATAAAATTAGACAATTTTGCCAAAAATTGCATTTTTTAAAAAATTCCCAAAGACCATTTAGGGCATCAATAACTAAATGTGTCCTATATGGTTTAAAAGGGAAATATTTTCTTAACATTTAACAGTTTGTTTAATGTCGATAGCTTTACTAGCAAAAAAAGTACAATTTCTTTAAGTTAGGTCTGCATAGTAACTTTTGCGTAGCCCTGTATAAATGGGTGATAGGGGGAGAAAAGAAAAGTGGAGTTTTTTTCACTTCTTGGGTCCATGTCTATTTACAGTTAAAAAAGAAATAAAATTAGAGTATATGAGGTGCACTCATTGGTGGCTAATAAATGGAATTACCCCATGGTGCTAAAAACATTGAGAGCAAGCCAACGTCAAGTGTCCAAACCAGGGCCGTACGCAGGATTTGATCCTGGGGGGGGTTATTAAATTGTTTACAAAAATATTAGGGTATTTTTTATTATTTCAATTTAAATTTCATAAAAATATAATATATTATATTTATAGGTTATTTTTAAGGAAAATTTTATTTTATTTTTCAGTAGGTATTTCAAGTGAAAATTGTAGTTTACAAGCTTTCTGGGGGGTCCAAACATGTTAGGTAAACGGATTTGCCATTTAATACACATAATTCTCTCTAATATGTGATAACATCGTAAATACCATAGTCATAGAAAAAGAATATTAAACGCGTACTCTTGTGTATTGATCAAAGTATAGTCTTCTTGATTATACTACTTACAAATCCGTTTTATAGAATTATCCTTCTGTCATCTGACAAGGTTAGAATTGTGGATAATCCAAAGTTTCACCACATAACATAAAGTTTTACTTCTACCGTTTAGTTTGAACATTGTGGTCTTATTATTACTATATTTTGTGGTAATTTGTTTGGAATATTAGATCGTTTGTAGTATTTAGTTTCTAAATCATGTCGTTAAGTGAGTGTTTAATATTTTTATTTTATTTCATCATTTTTCCCACTTTACATTTACCTACATAATTAATCTTTTTAGCATTATAATTTACAATTACAATTGTGAATTATAATAGCTCTTTTTTTGTTAACAAGTCACTTTTTGTTTGTTTTAATAACTTTGTTTTGAGGTTAAGATCAAGGTCGGATTTTCAGAAAATTACTAATTATCAGTTACATCATAGCTTTAAAACAAAAGTTAACTTTTGTGATTACAACAAATTATGTTTAATATTTTGAATTACAAAATTAAGTTTTTATAGTTTAAGTACTCAATGGTATATTCTGAGATCCAACTGCAAAAAAGACTAGATGCTAAATGTAGCAAAGTATTCCTCAAGGTTATGACGATCAGCTGTCATCTTGGTTATGCAGGTACACTGCATTGTGCCATACCAAACCCAACCGACCCCGCCCCATTGAGCATAGAGGTATAATATATCTAACACAGAACATAAGAGAATTAAAAGCGCTATAGTCAAAAGTGGCAACAAGCATTGGTTGATTTTTAAATCTAGCAGGCTTGGAAAACCGAGTTGTTTTTTTGCGGGAAATTTGAATGTTTGGCTATTTGAATTTTTATTTAAAACAAGGAAATATAACCGAAAATTGTTTAAATTTTATATTTTTTTGATTTTAAAAGGATTATATACGTAATATTGTCCATTAAAAATCAAAAAATATAAAATTTCGACAATTTTCGGTTATTTTCCACTAATTAAGTGGAAAAACACACATTTTTGTTTTTTTAATAAATATATTTAACAAAATATACATTTAATTCAATTTTAAATTAAAGTATAACTAACAAATAATATTTAAATGAGGAGAAATTCAAAGTTAATTATTCTATAACTTTTAGTGATATTTAAAAAAAGGTTTATCAAAAAGTATGACATTAAATTGATAATTACCCTCTTATATATGCCTACAAGACAATTATCGCTTGATTACAGCGATAATGTTCAGAAATTTAAATTTTGTGTCACATAATAACAATTTTTATAGGTTTTTTAAGATTTCTTAATAAAAATGCAAAGGTTTATAAACAAATTAACTCTAAAACATATTACAAACCATCAAAATATTTGATAAATTCTTGATAAACAATAGTTCAATACTTATTGGTCCTTAGAAAACAACCTTTTAAAACAGTTCGAGTATATTATATAATTAAAATTATTTTAACTTTGAATAAGTAATTCATAAAAATAAATAATTTTGTAATACATACTGACTTATTGTATACCTATAGGTATTTCCAAATTTCTTTATTGGAATAAACCAAAAGGCTAATGCCTAAAATATTTAATGCAATAATTAGACTGATTACAAACTATACTCTTATAATTTTTAGGAATTATGATTATAATTTGTTTTTAAAATAAGCACAATACTGTAGTTTTGTAAAATATAGAATTTTTGGAAAAAAGGAATTCCTACTTATCCAAAAATTAAATTACATTCTTTGGAATATTTAATTTTTAGTAAAATTTGTTTAATTAAAATTAATAATCAATAGAAGCACTTAAATCACAATGTTAAAAATATTGTTATTATGTATGTATTTGGCAAAATTAAAATATTTATGTATGATTTAACTTGGTCTCTGGTCAATATTAAGTATTAATTGTCTTTTATCTTGTTCATGATTCATGGATTGAACATGCGTCTTTTTCTTGATTCAATGAAGAATATTCAACTGCAATTAATATTTTCTATGTTCTTTTGCAAAGAACTTTGATAAATTCAAGTCCTGTCTGCTTCTTCCATTAACACAAACCCAAACCTGAAATCAATACCAATTTTAAAATCAATTTAAATTGTAAAACAATTGATATATTACCTAATAATTTTTAAAATTAAATAAAAATAATGTATCAATATTTATGCTACTTATTTATGCTAAAGGTAATTGTTTTACAAGCATAAAAATAATTGAATGGTTTATTGTAAAAAACAAGCTAAGTAACTAAATATGATTTTGTTTATTTTTTAATTTAAAAATCTTATAAAAACTAATAATGGTTAACTTGTGCTGTTTTAAGATGAAAATATCCTTTTTTAATATCCTAATAAAAATCCTAAATAAAATATTTCTGCCTCAAAATAATAATAGCAGAAGTGTATGTAATATAAAAATGTCAGATTGCTTGTTTTAACAATAAACAATTTAATTATATTTGGAGTAAATACTAAAAGTGTACTTTCTTTAATGGTCAGGCTTTTACTTTTTTTATATTTGGTTTGTAACTATGGATGTGTGAATATTGAATTCAAGAATTATTTGAATAGTTTGAATGTTTCAAATTTTAAAATGGTTAAATTAGAAAATTAAAATTTTCCAATATTAATTGAAGAAATGAAACATTGGAATTGTAATTTAAAATTTATTTTGAAATAAAAAGAATGTTATTTACTTGTCATTAACCCTTAATTAACTTATTTGAATAGATTATGATTGTAATTATTGAACTATTCAAATAATTCTATCTAATAACTATAGTTATAAATAAATATATTTATGTAGTTTAAATATTTAATTTTAAGTTTGAATTAAATATTACTACTTAATTTATTTGGTAAAAATATTCACACACCACCAATTGTAACTAAAAATGTATTCTAAATAAAAAAAATATATCTACCTATTATTAAAAAAAATTGGCCAAACATTTCTGTTTGGGATTGACGAGTAAAGCTTTCATTCTTTTTCTTCATGCAGGATAAATCTTGTCTAATTGTTCCATTATTGCAGAAGCTAAAATTAATTATATTGAATTAAAATCAATTTATATTGTAGCAAAAAATAGTTGAATTAAAAACTAAAATAATTCTTTAAAAGGTTTGCTTATGAATTGTCTAGTTATTTATGTACATTAAAAATGTCAGACTTTTAGATAGAACAAATGAAGTCGCATTTTCAATTAAATTTACATTGTGGCTTATCTAAGAGTGTTTCATGTAAGGTTTCAGGTGGTATTTTCAAAGTGGCAGAAATATGTGCCGAAGTGCCTTAGTTTGCATTTACTTCAATGGGAGTTTGCCTGGTTTTCAACTTATGTGAAAACTCTTGGATGAAGCCATAATAACAATTTAATTGAAAATGTGACGTAGACACTTCTTGCATTGACCCCTTCAAATAAAATAACTATAAAAATACTGTAAAAGATTATCACCCTGTAGATCAAAATGCTATATTTATGTAAAAAAACATGGAAAGCACAAAACATTTGTAATATAATCTAGTTTTGAACTGTATGCTTACAAGTGTTTAATATGACCTCTTCCAGCTGCAAACATCTTGTAGATACTCGGCAGTTCCAATTCGTGTATTTAGCTTTTACAAATCTTGGGGCTCATAAACGTTATCTTTTATAAAGCCCCGGAGAAAGAAGTCGCACACTGTGAGATCGGTTGAACGTGTTGACCATACATGAAGTGCCAAATTGTTGGGCCCTTTACGTCCGATCCACCGATGAGGGGGCTGTTCGTTCAATAACCTCCGCTCCACTTAATGCCAATGTAGTGGGGCCCTGGACCCAGGTCCAGTTTTCGCGTAGCTACATCAAATAATTTTAACAAAAACATACATTTTGACAAAGATTATAGGTATATTTAACATTTTGTATAACAGCAACTAGGTAGTGTCGAGAAAAAAAACGTTAAAAACTGTTTTGATTGAAAGTTTTGAATCAAAACGCTTTAAAACTATTTAAATTCTATCAAACTTGCATTAGTTAAACAACCCATAAGCAAAGAGTAAGAGTCTTTACTCTTTGCCATAGGTTTCATTACATAAAAAGAATTTTATTAACTAGGTACGTGTTTTCGGTAAACATAGAGAAAAAAACCGATACGGTTTATCACACGTATTTTCTTATTTTAAACGCGGTAATGATGCTACAACTAACTCAAACTTGACTAAAAACACCTAATAAAATATTAAAGCCGAAATTAACAAGTTTACTTACCTAAAACAAAGAAAATTTGGATTATAAAACTTCGTACACACCACTTCAACAACGCTGTCGGCCATTTGTAATTTCTCAAACCGAACATCAACGAACAAGTTGGAAAAGACCAATCACAACAAAGTAAGAATCACGTGGTTAATAACTGGGGTTTGTCAAAAACAACTTGGGTTTCAACGCATGCTAGATTTATTTTACTGTTGCCCTGTTGTCAAATTCCCCTTATACCCCCCCTGATATCTAATGGCAGGCTGGATTGTGACAATGGGGCGGGGTCGGTTGGGTTGGGTTGTTAATTTTGGGTTGGTTTGGTATGGCACAATGCAGTGTACCTGCATAACCAAGATGACAGCTAATCGTCATAACCTTCAGGAATACTTTGCTACATTTAGCCTCTAGTAAATAAGTGCCCATTAGGGTAGCTCAAAAAATATAGGTGTATTTTAAAACATGATAAACTAACATATTTTTATAAAATACATAAAAAACATGACCAAAGTGTACCTAGTGATAGTTTAAAATTTTATGTTGTCAGTAATAACTACTTAGTCTCAAAGTCCATGTTAAGTAGACTTTCAGACTTAGACTTTCAGACTATTTTTGTATACCTACACTCACAGGCAAAATAATCGATCCACACAACTTTTCGATGAATTTCAATCGCAAATAACTTTTTTATTTGATGTCGGATTTAAACAAATATTAAAGAATATTGTAGATAAATTAATGGACAATCGCTCACATTTTACCAAAAAATAGACGTTCGTTTATAATATACAGGTTTAAACAAAAAGATGTTTTTTACCACTCTGTAGAGTGGCAAAAACCGTATATTGTTCTAAATTAAGTTTTATTTATCAACTCACATCTATTCTTAACAGTTTTGTTTTTGGTTCACCTCGATATATTTGTTTATTGTGGGAAATATGGATTTTTTAAAAAAAACATTGCAATTTCCAATATTTTTCTGTATGAAGAACTACAGTGACAGTTTTGTTGAATCATCTCATAATTTGACATGTCATACACAGCTTTCAAAAGCTATCAAATTGTTTTTTGCAAATTAATATTTAAATTTTGAGGTGCCTTCTTACTTTAAAAAATGGATATGTGTCCGACTGATGTTGCCAGAGCCATTAATTTAATCCAGGATGGACGGTCACAGTATTACGTGGCAAGTGTTTTAAACGTCACAAGAAGTAAAGTACAAAGGGCAACATCAGTCGGAGACATTTTTAAAAGTAAGAAGACACCTCAAAATTAACACATTAATTTACAAAAAACAATTTGATAGCATTTGAAAGCTATATATGACATGTCCAAGTATAGGATGATTCAACAAAACTGTCACTGTCATCCTTAGTACTTCATACAGGAAAAATATTGGAAATTGCAATGTTTTTTAAAAAAATCTATATTTTCCACAAAACTAAATATATCAAGAATAAACCAAAAACAAAACTGTTAAAAATAGATCTGACTTGATAATTAAAACTTAATTTAGAACAATATAACGGTTTTGCCACTATACAGAGTGTCTTAAACTTATGGTAAAAAACATATTTTTGTTTAAACCTGTATATTATAAACGTACGTGTATTTTTTAGTAATTTTTAAAAATGTGAGCGATTGTCCATTAATTTATCTACAATATTCTTTAATATTCGTTTAAAACCCGACATCAAATAAAAAAGTTATTTGCGATTGAATTTCATCGAAAATTTTCTGTGGATCGATTATTTTGCCTGTGAGTGTATGGGTGATTCTAAAAATATTGTTCACAATATTTTGTTCACAGATGATCTGTAATTTTGTCCAAAGCAAAAAAAAAACTTGGTGCCTGCTCAATTCAAAGTAACTACAGCCTACCTATAAACAGGATTACGCTCTTATAACCTTTGTTTTAACTGACCTTTAGTTTTTGCGGAACTTAAATATGTACACGCCAATGACGCAATTTATTTTGGACAAGGGTTTTTGCTATTTATATGTGTTTGAAAAAAACCTTTCATACTTTTTTTGACAGTCTTAAAATTGCATTTTTTTATGAATGCAAAACATATTATATACCGAGGGGTCAACCACCCAAAGGTAAAACGTCCAGGGATTCCCATGTATTCCCACTATATTTTATTGTATTCCTATGTATTTCCATTGTATTCCTATGGTATTCCCCCTCTAAAATGACCAGGGATTCCCAAGTGTGGGTGACCCCCTCGTTATATACCTAGATTACTGCAAAAACCACATAACTCCCAACACACTGTTTTGAGTAATTTGAATTTGAAACTTATTTTTATTGGGTCTATTTATTAAAAATGCAGTTATACCATTTTTGTTGTGATTGGTTATGATCATAGTTGAGTTGTCCTTGCAGAAACAATTATTAGTTCAAAAATTTAAAGTTTTTATAAGCCTATGAAAAAATACATTTTAGGATTTAACAATACACATGCGTTTGGCAACAATAATGTGCAACAACTGATTATCACACCAATTAATTGGCTCGTTAATTGGTTAATTGATTGTTGACATCACAACATAGATAATGATTAACAGTTAAAATTCGAAATTAGATTTCTGTTAAATATTGATATGTATTTCTTTAATGGGTCACTAAGTAGTGTGATATACTTAAAAACTGCAAGTCATTTAGCCTGTATGTGTGTGCCAATGTTATGTTAATGTTAGTTTAATTTTTCTTCATAGATGTATTCTATGGTTTTATTAGTTCCTGACAGGGACGTAATAATGTACTGTCTGTCCACTCTAAGTTGGCGGAACTAAGGAATTTTGTAGTTTAGATATTAAAGAATTGTCGTACTGTGTGCTTTTAAAACAGATTTTATATTATAAATAATACTAGTATATAATATGTACTAGTATTATTTATAATATAAAATCTGTTTTAAAAGCACACAGTACGACAATTCATTAATATCTAAACAACAAAATTCCTTAGTTCAGCCAACTTAGAGTGGACAGACAGTACAATGGTTTTATTAGGAATTAGTGTTTCATCTAGATGAAACACTAATTCCTAATAAAACCATTGTACATTAGACCTAATCTTTATAATACGACTTGAAACAATAATTAAGGTAAACCTATTATTTTTAAGTTACACTTTCATATCTTGTTAATAATAATAATACCAATCTTATATATATTTCCAATCACATTAAAGTTACATTCATACATGCGTATAAAATAACATGAAACGAAATAGAGTCATAATAAGATTATATGTATATATAAAAACAAAAAATCTATAATAAAAACTCTCTTAAAGAATGTTTGAGGTTTTGAATATACCTCTAAAAGTCATGTTTTTTATTATCCTCAGTATTCTTTTTTGAGTTACAAATATTCTATCTATTAAGCTATTTCCTCCCCAGAAAATAATTCCATATTTAAAAACTGATTAAATAATAAAGGTAACATTTTTTAACAATCTTGTGGGTGCGCCACTTCTGGGACACCATATACAGGGTGTCCCATAATTCTACAATCAAAAATATTATATTTCAGGGGCTTTAGCTCCCTTAGGAAGCATTTCTTAACTTTTTTTCTTATTTTTGTACGTAGAATCTGCTTGTTTAAGTATTGGACGCTAATTATGGTACACCCTGTATAATATAATTAAGTTAATTAACGTAAAAAGATACGTTTTAAACATGTTCAAGATGTTTAAAACATATTTTTTGTGCGTAATTCAAAACATACAGTATAAAATTAAAAACGTTTTGTTTTTTTAATACCTTGTGAAATAATACCTAGGTATTTTAAATTTTATAAATAATGGTAAAATTCAAGACTGAATCCTTAAAGTATTAAAAGTTACTATTGACTTATAAATTATGCTTTTTAATCTTTTCGTATTTTTATAATATTTATTGATAAATTTTTCATACCAACAAGTACTGTAACAGTAAACCGTAGGTATGCCCACCATAGATAAATTAACATGGATTAAATTTCAAAATGTAACAATTTTACAAACTGAAAGGCGATATATCTTAATAATTAATTTAACTTTATTTTAGGTGCAATGTCGTCAGATCCTACCAAACAAGTATTTAACTACCAAGAAGAAAGTCAATCAGATAGGCTAGCTAGAAAGTCAAAAGAAACCCCATTCTTTCCCATAGGTAAGCAAGAGTTTTTAAAATAATAAATTATTTAATTTAATTAATAAATCATTTAATTTAATTAATTAATCATTTAATTTAAGAATGAAGTAAATGAACATTATAATATATAAGTATATATTAGGGTGTCATTTTTGAGCAACTTTTTTTCTTCAAATAAAAAACAGGCTAAAAACTTTTAGGAAGGTGAAAAAAGAAACCTCTAAAAATTTGAGCTCTTAATAATAACATTAAGTGGTGCCTGTTCCTAACTTTCCATTTTCCATTTAAATAACAAGGAAAAAAAATTATTTTTTCTTATTTTTGTAGCTTGACATTTAAGCATTGTAAAAACGAACTGAAAAATTATTTTGGTAGGAAATTGAACGCTCTACAAAAAAGTTCTAATTTATTTTATTTAAAGTCGATAACTCTGATAAAAGATTATATCGGCTTAGTCGGTATATTACCGTTCGGATTACACAGTGACTAGAGGCACGCTAACGTGCCGCGATTCGAAATGTTAAAGGCAACTTTAAGTTTGAAAACCTTCAGAACGGCTCACTCTATGAAAAAATATATTGAAACTTTTTTGTAGAGCGTTCAATTTCCTACCAAAATAATTTTTCAGTTCGTTTTGACAATGCTCAAATGTCAAGCTACAAAAATAAAAAAAAAATAAAAAAAAAATTCCATTTTATTTAAATGGAAAATGGAAAGTTAGGAACAGGCACCACTTAATGTTATTATTAAGAGCTCAAATTTTTAGAGGCTTCTTTTTTCATTTTTCTGAAAGTTTTTAGCCTGTTTTTTAGCTGAAAAAAAATTTGCTTAAAAATGACACAACCTAGTATATATAAGTACATTTATTTTTCATGTTTTATTAAAAAAAGGTTTATGTTTTTTTAGGTTTAATTATCTTTTTGTTTTTATTTGCCACTCGTGTTTTACTTTTATCTTTAGTGTCTTTTTTCTCTATTAGTTTATCTTTGGATTTTTTCACAGTATTGTTTAAATTTTTGATACTTGATGCATTAGAAATGTTCTTATCGTTAGATGATTTAGAGGAAGATTTTTGGACAGAAGTTATTTTGTCCGCCGATTTGGAAGGTTCTTGTGGAGATGTTTTTTCATCCGTCGATTGAGAAGGTTTATGTACAGAGTCAATTGATATTTTACTTTTTGGCTTTGAGATGTTTTCCTTTAAATCTATGGTTGTAATAGCGGTTACACCTGAATCCTTATCTAAATCCTTTTCTTTTTCTTTCGTTTTCTCCGGTTCTTTTTTAATTGTGTTTTCAGCATCTTCCTTTTCCTTTTCTTTGCCTTCCATCGGTTTTTCTATAACGGGTATTTCCATGTTAAACTTAGATAAAATGTTATAAAGCAAGCTTAATTTGGCTCCTATAATTGTTTCAATAATAGCTTTGTTCTTGATAAAGTATGTTGTTGGCAAAACAATAACATTGTACTCTATAGCAAGTTCCTCACAATCATCAACATCGATAAAAGCAAAGGTTTGCACCGGATTTACTTCAGCCACTCTTTCCAATTCCGGTGTCATTATTGAACAGGCTTTACACCAACTTGCGGAAAATTCTAAAATTGCTATTGATTCTTCGTCTAAATCTTTAATTACAGGTTCCAGGTCTGTGGAGGCTTTAATTTGGACAATTACCATTTTTTTCAACGAATTTGGACATTTTTCTATTTTTGTATTGGGACAAATGTCAAATGTATAAATTTGACCTTTTTTAGTCCAAATTAGATTTCTTTTTGAATGTCTTCTTTTTCTGTAGGTATCTCCAGCGGCTTTATTATTTCTTCTTTTTTCTTTGTTTTTTCTTGTTCACTTTTTTCCTCCTTGAAATCTTTTTTTTTATTTTCTTCTTTAGTATTCTGTTTAGGATCTTTCTTTGTTGCTTCTTCTGGTTTGTCCGATTCCGAAACTTTTTTATTTGTTTCTTCAGTGGTTTTTTCTTTAGAGTCTTTTTTCTTCGACTCAGGTAGTGCTGCAGCCATTTCTAGCAAATCATCTATTAAACTTTTATGTTTTTCATCAGTTAGTTTCTTATCTTTTTGATTGGATAGTTCTTTAACATCCTTCTCGCTAGATACTTTCTTTGCATCCTTTTCTTTAGAATCTTTTTTATCATCCTTTTCAATAATATTCTCTTCTAACATTCCTTCAGGATGTAGTTTAGATAATGCATTTTTCAAAGCAGATTTTTTGGCCCCGACTATTGATTCTAAGATGTTACCATCTTTAACAAAATGTATAGTTGGTAGAGCCACCACGTTATATTCTGTGGCGATGTCTTCGCAATCGTCTACATCTATCGCAAAACATTTTACAATTGGGTTGTCTTTAGCGATTTTTTCCACTTCTGGCTCTATCAGACTACAAGCTGCGCACCATTTGGCCGAGAATTCCAGTAAAACCAGGGTTTGGGTGTCGACTTTTTTTATTTGTGTTTTAAAATCTTCGGTGTTTTTAACGTGTGTGGCCATTTTTATATGCTACTGAAAATTTGGATGGTGAATTTATAAAATGTCAACATGACAGACTAATTGACAATGTTTCTATAGTGTTTAAAAAGTGCGTTGATTGGTTTACAGCAAAGATATCTTTGGTTAACAGCTCTAAAAAAGTATCTTAACCTCCAATTTTGCAGTATCTCATGTCATCTAAAATATTAATGACGTTAGCATTCCCAACTTTGAACTGTAAAGTTACTACCGTAAAAATTGCATTTTAAAGTCAAAATTCTGATGTGTGTTAATATCATTTGCGTATTTTTTTCCAAGAACTGTAAACATTTTTTTCTACGACCACTATGTTAAAGTGACCAGATTCTGTCAAAAAAAATCGGGACATTTTGTATGAATTTACCTTAATTACAAAATTGACACAATGATACATAGATACAATAGACACATAGATACAATAGACACATAGATACAATAGACACAATGATACAATGCAAATTGTAAATTTGACGTTACTTAATTATTGTTGATTGTGACATTTTTGTATTTAAGGTTAGTTTACACAAAATGTCCCGTTTTTTTTTGACAGAATCTGGTCACTTTACACTATGTAAAAGTCACTTTTCATGATGGCATCGTTGCTTAGAAAATGAATCTTTTCATTGGCAAGGCAAAACACGAATGTAAAGTGACATTTCTGTGTGAAAAGTGACAGGTCTGTGTGAAAAGAACCGGAAAGCATCGTTTGACATTCAGCGGTCAAAAAAGTTTTTAGGTTATTTTGTTTTGTATTTAAAAATAATAAAAAATAAAAGGGTCGCAGAAAAAACATTGTGTTATACTTGTGAGAAAAGCTTTCTTCAAGCTCGTGTTAATGCACACTCGGCCTAACGGCCTCGTGGGCAACTTAAAAACTCGCATGAAAAATTTGCTTTTCAACACTTGTAAAACAAATAACTACTTGTTTTCAAAACGTTTTTTACGAAATTATAAAATAAAACCGCACCGTTTAATATTATTGATGGTTTGGCGTCATTTATTCCTTGTGGTTTTTTGTCATTTTGACATTTTGTGCGTGAACATCGTTTGTTGCAAATTATTATAAAAAATGATATACATTGTGAATATCATATTATACCTACCACTGGCACCCCACTTGTGTTAACAATGTAACAAGCAGATCGCGGCCGTAGTGGCAATGCAAACAGTTATTGCGCCTTTTATAATAAATGTGGGGAATGAATCAGATTCCGAGTAGTAGTATTTTTGGGCTTCTGGTAATGTAGTAATTTTTTGTTTTGTACGCCGACGGTGGTCTAGTGGTTAGTGCTGCTGACTACAAGCCGGAGGTCGTGGGTTAGAATCCCACCAGGGGTATGGCTGTTTATTTGTGTTTGTCCTATTGTGTATTAGTCCTTCGGAGGGGACTTTAAGCCCGCGGTCCGTTCCTACCCCTAACCCGCACAAGCCATTCAGTTGGCTTATGGGACTTCTTAAGAAGTAAGGGTGGAACTAAAAGAGCACTTTTGTATAAAAACTTTGTAAACAGTGGGGAACACGAAATTTTGAACGACTTACCAACACTAACCGATGTAGCGAAAAGCGTCGAAATCTCGGGGAAATGAGCACAGCGTCATGTGCATTCCGCATGTCACGTGCTATGTATCGAGCTATGCGCATTGGCGGATTGATAAAGCCGTCGTCAGCTGTCCTGAACTGTCAAAAATAACGATCAACTAAACTTTTTGGTAAACTATAGTTAATATATTAGTTTGTATCACAGAGGTTTTTCTATGGTTTGTATTATAATAAACAGAACGGGAATTGACAATTTATTAAACAGAGTTCTGTACAGCTCATATAATATAAACTATACACGTGCGTTAGATTGTGCTTGGGCACGTAGGTATGAATAGACCTCAACGCGTCATATGCCGTATTGTCCTATTGGCAACACAATCCACTGTATGTTATTCTTAAGCCTAATTTTCATGTATCCGTTTGTCCGTCAGTCCGTTCATCCGGGAGCGCTCTTATTGGTCCAATTATAATTCGAAAATTATGACATTTTATCGGTCCGTCAAGTTTCAACTTCGTACGTCTGACAGCGAAAGGTTAAATAATTTTATCTACGCCAGTGAGATAAGAACTTCTTATCCCACTCATTTTGAGTGAGATAAGAAGTTCATTAACGCACGCGTTTTTCTCTGCTTTTAACCAATCAAATAAAAAAGTCAAAATGTCAAAATGTCAAAATAACCCTAAATTAAGTCTTAGACAAAAATAATTACCGTTTATTTTTTCATTTAGAGGCGTAGATAAAAATTTGTACAATATACGTGTGATAACGCTTTATTAACGTACTTTTGCGATTGCCCAACTCGTGCTACGCACTCGTTGGGCAAATTTCGCATGCGTACGTTAATAAAGCTCTTATCCCACTTATATCGTAAATAACTATTAACTCATCCGTCACTAAACATCTGTTTTTGACGCCTAAGGTTATTTTAAGATAATTTATTTTCAAATATTTTTATATTTTTTCAATAAGATTGTAAAACGAAAATATTACGTTCGTTATGTGAATAATGTTTTACTGTTAAGTTTTTATTTAATAAGAATAACGAAAAAAAAGAAAGGAGGACAAACGAAAAAAAAATTAAAACTAGAACTAAAAGGCCCTGCTTTTTAAAAACTATACATTTTAATCTATGATTTTAATGTATATTAGGGCTAGTATATTCTTTTTATAAGGTATATTTACCTACCTTTAAATTTATTAGACAGCTAACTGTTAAAGACAATTGTTGACATAATTGTAACTATGACAATTAAGCATTAGGTAAATTTAGTAAGTGAATATACTGAAACTTAATTTCTATTTGTCGCAAAATCAATCCGTTAAACGTCATTAAAAAACGTAGGTATGCATGAAAATTAGAACATTTCTTATCGGACGATTTTATTGAAAAACTGACATACGGATGACGGACAAACGGATACATGAAAATTAAGCTTTAATGTAATCAATTATAAAATTCATAAGTGACATAAGTGTTTAAGGACCTTTTGAGTTTTTTATGCTGTTTAATGTTGTAAGTACTTCTATAATAGAATTTCTTCGCAGCGTTTAAAAATAAATTCTACCCAGCTAAGCAAAACTGACGTATCTACATTAATAAAGGACAAAAAATAATGTTTAATGTTTTTAACAATTAAAATAATCTTTTGTCCTTAATTATTTAATATTGCAGATACGGCAGTCTTGCTTAAAGCCGTATTACAGCCGGCAATTCTTCTTGCAGCAATTTTTCTTGCCATCTAGTTTTCAAGGCCGTCTTGCATGTTGTTTTAAGGCCGTATTACAGCCGGCAATTCTTTCGGCAATTGCAATGAAAATTGCCATAGGCATGCGCGGTTGAGACATTTCGACGAATCTCTTGCAATTGCCGAAAATCGGTCCGGATGGATTTTTATTGCCGTTTCACGGCAATTCTGGGGTGAAATCTGGTAACTTTTATGTTACCAACCCTACTACAAATTCCCTAGAGAGACGCTGTTTGACTTAAACAGTTTAAGGTTATTTGTTTTATGATTGGCATTGTGTTCAAAGTTCTAGTATCCATTTCACTCATTAATTTTTTAATATCTCCACTAAATAACAAATAAACTTAGTGTTTACAAAATCGTATATTTTTCTTCGGTTGGTAGCACGGTAATAAACAGCAAGTTTTCTTGCCATTGCCGGCTGTAAAACAACATGCAAGACGGCCTTGAAAACTAGATGGCAAGAAAAATTGCTGCAAGAAAAATTGCTGCAAGAAGAATTGCCGGCTGTAATACGGCTTTTACAGCCGGCAATGGCAAGAAAACTTGCTGTTTATTACCGTGCTACCAACCGAAGAAAAATATACGATTTTGTAAACACTAAGTTTATTTGTTATTTAGTGGAGATATTTAAAAATTAATGAGTGAAATGGATACTAGAACTTTGAACACAATGCAAATCATAAAACAAATAACCTTAAACTGTTTAAGTCAAACAGCATCTCTCTAGGGAATTTGTAGTAGGGTTGGTAACATAAAAGTTACCAGATTTCACCCCAGAATTGCCGTAAAACGGCAATAAAAATCCATCCGGACCGATTTTCGGCAATTGCAAGAGATTCGTCGAAATGTCTCAACCGCGCATGCCTATGGCAATTTTCATTGCAATTGCCGAAAGAATTGCCGGCTGTAATACGGCCTTTAGCATGGCAGAATTAATTATTCTATACCAAAGGTTTAAGACAAATAAATGATTGTATTTTAAAATGTAAATGTCACAAATGTAACCTAGGCAGTAAATTATTTAGTCTAATGTATTAAATCATTATTTGTTTTGCATTTAACTAAACGTATATTTAGTTTCAATAACAGAAGGATAGTTTACTGATCAACAAAAATGTCCAATATTGGAGGAGATCGGTAAACTCCTTACTGTTCGAGATACTTTTACTATTTTTGTACGAACATTATACGCCGACATTTAATAAAATTTTTATTAGTATTTTTATTTTCAGAAAATTAGAAAAAAATTTTTTAACAATATTTTGTTCTCGTTGTTATGGATACGTATAATTATATTTCTTAATGTCAAACGCCCGTGATAAGCTGTTAAAAATTATCTTTTATATAAAAAAAAACTATGAATGATTTCAAGGGAATTGTTTTTATGTTTGAAAAAAAACACATTTAACAAATATTGATTTTACACATTCTTCTAAATTAATAATTTACTAAGTGACAGTTTAAGTATATGAATCATTTTTAAAAGTAAATTAACTTAATAATAACGCAGTGCGTTTGAAAAATGTACAGCAAACTTGTTAATTCTTAACAAGTAGTAAATTCATAAAAATGCAAGGCCATTTAATTTAACCTTTTATAAAACCCCATAATTTCATTAATTTGTCTTAACCCTTTCGCTCACGAATTATTTATGACACATCAAACAAAATAATTATTTGCTATTTTTTGGTACCTCAAAATTATTTTTCTCTGCTAGTGTTTTATTACAAGGTGTGCTAAAATTAGGACATGAGAACATGAAAAAATGGATAAAAATTTAGTCAAGTAGAGACAAAAAATTGTAGAAAACGACGTACTAAATTTAGTACGCGAAATTTTCGGGACCCGTATTATATATCTATTTAGTTTTAGTTTATGGACAAAAAACGTCCGTTTTCAAATTAAAAAAAAACGGGTACGACCTCTGTATCCGGAATTTGAAGTAATTAGCTATTCGAATAAAATAATGAATTTAAGGCTTTTTATGCAATGTTAAATTAAATGGCCTCTGAAAGCTTAAGTATAGATCCAATAACAAAAAAATATAGATTAAATGTATAAAAATATTATTGAAAAAAAATGAGATGCGTTCTAAAATAATGCTCCCAAATCCTTCGATTTTTTTTGCCAATTTTGTGGGCTTTTGAAAATCATATTTACAATAAATTCTGGAATTTTTATGATTAAATTTCATTATACAATTATATTTTTTCAAGGCACAATACACACGAAATTATAAATACATTGTTTAATTTATAAAAAAATTATATTTACAATAGTTTTAATTTTTTAGCAATTGGAATGACAACCTGTGCAGTGGGATATGGCATATACGCATTTAAAAACAGAGGTAAAATGAGCACAAGCGTGTACCTAATGCATCTTCGTGTAGGGGCGCAGGGAGCGGCAGTGGCGTCCCTAACCATGGGACTCTTATATACGATGATAAACGAACACATATTAAAGAAGAAAAATTAGATACAGTACAACTAGGTTAGCACAAATTTAGATATTTGATATTTTAAATAAATTATAGCAAACTACATTAGAAAGTTCCAAAAATTTAATTTGTTCTTACTAATTCTTATTTATTTTTGTCCAACTGTATGTAAGAATGTTAACTTATTTGTAAATGACGAACTATTTATTAATATTTGCTAGTTTAATATAAGGATAACGTGATATTAATTGGATCGTATTTAATATGGTTTATTGTACATAAATAAAAAGTATTAATCTCAGCAAACTCAATAAATAATATATTTTCTTTCAAAATATGTTTGTTATTTTTCATTAAACATTTTATCTATTACATCGTAGTTTAATTTTTAAATGGATGGTGAAGGTGTAAATAAAAGACGATTTTTAAATATTTAATTTAATTTTCCATAAAAGTGGCTTTTCTCAAACATTTTATTGTATAGGGAAACCGTTAATTTGATAGAATAAGCAAAAATTTAATAAGACTTTTTATATACATTTTACAGTATTAACATTACTCAAATATGTGACTAAACAAATTATAAAATAAAATTAGGAATAGTATGGGAGGTACATTTAGATAGGCATATACATTTAAAGTGACAAAATTCACAATATGTTTATAATATACAGAAATTAAGTATGAGCAACTGTGTAACTTACATATTAAAACAACATTAAACACTATTTTTATATTGCACAAAAACGAACTGTACAAACACGCAGTATATAAATAAAGTACAGTGTTTGTAGATGACATTTTACACCATTATCGCAATAATATACTTTCATTGCATAATATACGCAAATGGCTGGAAAATTATATTATTGATTAGTTAGATGGATCTACTAAATTAATCTTTTTAAAAGTTTGTCCAGAAGAATTTTAACCGGCTTTCTGACAATTAATTACAATACATTTTTTTTTAATGGTAGTTGATGGTTTGCATATTTTATTATGGAAAATTGAAACCTTTAATCAGATTAATTAGTCCTTATTGGATTAGTGGGGCAGAAAGATGTTAAAACAATTTAATAGTCTAACCATGTAAGGACATTATGAGTCTAACTAGGTAAATATGCAACCAAACTGCACCATTACACACTGATTCCAATATATTCTTTTGTTTTCTCATGAATTGCTCAAATACAAAATTTATGGCAGATTTGGCTTTCACAAAAGTTTTAAACATCCTTCTGACTAGAACTGTTGTTATTAATATTTATATCCATTTTAATCATTCTATCAACATAGTTTTGTAAAATTGGTTAATACATATAAAAACGCATATTTAAGAGAGCTTAATATAAGTAATAAGAGTATTTTAAAGCTTATCCAATGAACCTATTTATTTATAGTTATCAAACTTATTTGTATTTATCAAAAAGGTACCTAATAATTTACTAAGCTCAAAAAAGATCATTCTGCAAATTTAAGGCAGTTTAAATAATCCTAAACATCCAGTATTTAAACAATTATTTATAAAAGTCTTAAATTTGTTGTTTTAGTTATGGGCAAAATTTAAGGATGGATAAATAATAATTTGGTAGTTGGTGTGTTTTTAAATTAAATTGAAGATTAAAAACAAATATTAATTTTTTTTTGGACAATATTAATCAACTTTTATTTACATATCAATTATTTTCCACACTATAAAATTTTTTGTTTTATGTCCATAAAGCTCAAAATTGTTGATTATAACAAATATTTAATTTAGGCCCAAAAATATTCATGCTTAAAGTCACTTTCAGCAACTTTATATACCACTTCAATACAATTTCACTACAAATTCACTAAAAAGGGTAACTATTCTAAACATGTAAGTGGATAATTTTTTAAATTCGATAATGTCGCAGCAGTACATTAAAAAGCGCCCTGCAAATGACATTTTTTCTGCAACGCTTTTTCGTTTTAAATCGTTGGTTGATTTTATTTAAGCTCTCAGCTGGCTTTCTGATTATCTCTATTTTTCGTTTCATGCAAAGCGATACAGAAAAATGTCAACATGTTAATAAAATTACCAAAAAGAGTGATACAAAATTAGATATAGTAGTGATTACGCATTATTTATTAAATATATATTAAGAGAGCTAAACATGTCAATACTTCTATTTTTAAACAGTCAAATGGAAGTATTTTTTATTTTCAGACATAGTTACGGTGTACATGATATTTTATTTGAGGATAAATTTCTAACATTCAGTAAATTCCTAATTTTTTGTAGTTGTTTATATGTCGAAATTTTAATTTTTAGCGCTAGAAAAAATATACCAAGTGTTCTATAGGTTCTAACATTCATTGCTTAAAATCAAAACAAATAAAGAATTGACTGACACTTTTGTTTAAGATAATACCAATTAAAATATCATATGCAACGATACAGATATAAATGCTTGTAAAAACTATAATGAAAGCAAAGTGCGAATATTTTTTGTTAAATTTTTGTAAACTATTACTAAAACCCTATGTATAAAATTAAATTACCTTAGATTACAAAGGTCATAGCTAGATATAACACAATATTCATAAGTGCTCTATAAGAGCCAATAAGTCCCTAGAATTTTAAATATATTTAACAATTCAGTGCGTTAAAGAAACAACAGTAGGTACAGTTAACTAGGCGGTAAAGTCATAATAATTATGATAATTACACATACTATTTAAGTGCCCAATTTCGAAACATAGTAGGTTTTTAGTTTGTGTTTATAATGTATCTACCAAGTTCGGCCCCTTCTTCTGATAAATATAAAACTATTTGTATGTGTGTATACAGGATGTTATACCAATAAATATTAATTTATTGTAGTTCAATAGGTTTAATTTTTTACTATTCTACTATTTAGGATCAAGCAATAATTTACAAATATAAAACTAGTCGCACTGACTCTTACATCTGATTATGAAGTAAGTTATTAACATAATTACACATTTGGCTAAATAGTATCTTCTTACTTTAGATTACAATATGTTTGGTGTGCTGCAAAGCTGCCATACAAATCAATGGCAACCATTTTTTACCAACATTTTAGCTTAAGTCTCAAGAAGGCAAATCAACAATAGGTATTTCATATAATGTTAAAATTAGGAATTATAAATTCATATGATAATTCTTAATTTTAACATTATGATTCATGTCATATGTATGTAACTAAAAAAAATTATTTACCTACAAATAGGGTGATAACAAAAATATGGTCAATTCCATATGAGATGGTTTCACGAAAATTAAACATGCAGTAAACACACTATATGGAATCAAGGTTTAAAAAATACAGGATGAATTAAGAGCATCGATTTAGATGTTAAAAAAGAGTCAATTGAACATCCCGTTTATATAAATGTAGGTATCAGAATAGTCTCATGTAAATAAATATATAAAAACAAACGGATAACATGAGAATCACACATCACCACAAATAGATTTCACAATAATAATAATAATAGTTTATAATATAACATATGTAGAACCTGGAGCGGTTCATGTATATATAGCTAAGTGTTCTATTTATGTGAACTGAAACCAAAGGCGGCTCCCCCGTTGCCTCCACTGCGGTGGAAGTGAACGTTTTGCCATTTGTTGTCCCTTTTATGCCAGACTCGACTTTCTTCAGACTGGTGAGTATGGGCCTGACCATGTCTAAAATAAACGAAATATTAGTAAATTTTATAAAAATTATATTATGCTATTTACTTATCCATGTATTGCGTAAGCCGTACATAAGCAATACACGCTGCATCTTCTCCAAGTAAATGGACATGAGGGTTCAATATTGTGGTGTTAACTGCCTTACAGTTTTTGCCTAAGACTTAAAAAATGGTGTCAAGAATATTTATTAGTTTTTTAAACTTCTTATATTAATTTACAAGTTAAATTCTTATCCCAAAGATTTGGAACTAATTAACCAAATTTGTACATATTTGTTTTTAAAATTATGTTAAAAAACCGCAACGATAAAAAGCTTTTATAAAATATTCTGACACTTTAGCTGTGGGCCTCCACATAATTACTAAAAAGCTTAATCACGTTTAATCGCTTCTAAAGAGATCGTGTTGGCAAAACTAGAGACAATACCAGTTAATGCCTAGCGTATGATATTTCATATATAAAACACGTGATAAGGTTATGTACAAACAGCTGTTTGATAATTTTGTAGTTAACTAAAAATAAAATAAAATACTAAATTTTTTTTTGAACCATCGACGTTGTGTTTAGTGTTTACTTGTAAGTGTACCTTTGCAATTAAGTCATTATGCCACTAAGTAAGTTAACATTATTTATTTTTAATAATATTAGCTATGTATAAAATTTTATTGAAATTTTTTAGAAAATCATGTATTGGGATATGTATAATATTATTTTTTTACAATAAAACCTAACTATTTTTTATACTACGTATGATATTTCATACGCTAGGCATATATGAGTCTTGGTAAAAATTTTTTACAGAAAGGATTATTATAACCCAGATGATCTTCAAGATGCCAAATAACTTATCAACTATATACAGGAAATAGATTCAGATGACAAAGAGTACGAAGAAATAAAAAAATAGCAAGGAGTTGAATTTAGTTCTTTTACCTCCAGATGATGGACAGCGATAACGATGATGGTAACAGTGAAGATGAATCCACGTTTCTATTGCATAATCTAGGTAGGAGACTTTTAAAGAAAAGGATTGAAATCATTGCATTAGAAGATAATAATGAAAAGAAAGAAATTGAGATAAATAAAGATAAAAAAGAACCAAACAAAATAAATTTGAGTACATTTGACTCTGTAATGGAAACAAATGAAACCGTAGAAGATACAACCAGGATGTATAGAGAAAATACTGAAGAAGACAAAGAAAATATTCCCTTATCCGATTTAGCAAGAAGCAAATACAAATTATTAAAAAGAAACTAAAAGAAAAGAAAATGCTTGGGAAAAGAAAATTTTGACTGCAAGTAATGAAAAGATAAGCCTTCGAGACTCTTTCCAACCAAGTTTAGTAGAGGGAATAAAAAATGAAAACTTGGCACCAATCGATATTTTTAAAATATTCTATGACGAGAATTTTATGCAAGAATCGCAGAAATATGCTGGCTATAAAGGTAATCTCGATTACCTTAGTTAGTAACTATTGAATAAATGTATGTATATTTTAGTATTAATAAAAAATAATTCATATTTTTTTCTTTATATTTTTGTTATTATTTGTATCTTTAACTTCCTAGCGTATGATATATCATACGTAAAAAAAACACTAAAATATTTTTTTTTCAAAACATTCATTTATAGACCAACAAAATATTAAAATATAAAAAAATACGTTAATAGGTTAAATGTTATGATAAGGTAGTTTTCTATGAAGAAGTTATTAAAATATTGTTACTGGATTTTTTTTGGTAAATTATTAAATTAACAAAAAGATAATTTGTAATCTTAAATATGTCCTAAAAACCGATTAAATGGTAAAAAACTTACTATTATCAAAGTAGAACTTGTGGAAATCCATTCCTTCAACTAGGTTACCCATAGCTTCTGGCTCAAATGCTGTTAAATGGGGATCGCATATTTTTCTGAAAAAAATCAAAGATACTTCAGGACATGTATTTAAGTATTATTTAAGCACAAAAATTTAAAAGAAGGCTCTTTCCTTCTGGTATGTTTGTAAAAAGTTATGCATATTTTTATTTTGATATATAGGTACGTAATACCCTAATTATTAGTAACTAAACATCTTATACGTATTTTTTTTAAAACCTTAATGGGCTTAAAAATTATTACACATTATTAAGACATTTTTTAAAAATATTTAAAGGCATTAATTAAAATAAATTTTCTTGTGCCCTTACGTAATAATTATTTTAAAAAATTTACCTTAATACTTGACATTTCAACGCAAATTTAGAGTAAGTTAGAGTGAAATCCTAAAGTTAGATACTCAAACTACAATGAAAAGTTTAAAAAAATTACAATAAGTATAACAAAAATAATGTTTTAAAAAAAATATTTTTTTATTTAAAAAATAGTATTGTATGTATCAAGTATGATAAACGCCATTTTAGACACGAATTTTATTTAATTTAAACTAATGAGTGTCTAGAAAAGTTTATAAACGAGTTGCATACTATACTTTTTCTACGACAAATACTTATTATTATCTAAAAATGATTTAAATTTTAAATTAAGTAAAGGGTTTTCCATTTAAAGCGTGATAACTTTAACCCTAAAAATAAGGCTGCTCTGGAATGTAAATATCAAATCTTGACAACACATATGTGTTCAGTACATTGTGTCAAATTAATATGGAAGGATAACAATTCAACAGCGCTTAGAAATAATTCGTATTTACCATCAAAATACATGTTCGGTTCGCCAAACATTTTGAGAGTTGCGAGAAATATAAGGTTTATCGTTTAGTTAATAAGTTAAAAAAAAATGGTGTACTGGCAAATAAGTTAACTTTTACTGTAACGGGTCATGTGAAATCTCAGGTTTACAAAAATAAGCCACGAACAATTCTCGACCTTAAAGTCAGGCAAAGTCGAGGGGGACATTTAAACGATATTATTTTCAAAACATAAAGTCATCGATTGTTCTTCTAAATATAATAAAGATTAAAGGATTATAACATGTAGTTATTTTTTTTATCTCATTTGAAAGTTCTGACGCTCTAAATAAAAAACCCTTTATTTGTATAGAACGCCATCTATAAAACAATAGGAAAATCTATGTTACCGTCAAATTTCAAATTTGTACCTATGTGTTATAAACATAGATAATAAATCAAAATGTACCTATTGAAAATGGATTAAACAACAGTTGTGAGGAAAATGTTTTATTAGCACTTCACGGTGGAGTCAGAGCCCGACTTTAAGTTATATCTAGTTTACTGCCGGTGAAATTAAAAGGTCAGTACAATGTTCATATAAACTTTTCAAATATTGGCGTTGAAAAACTATTTAATGCTTTTGGGTCAGAATTTCTCAAACGGGCCACCTGAATTAGGTCAAAATTAGTTTTTGATTGTAGATACATTTTTTCGATAGTATATCACAAATCCTAAAGGATTTTGTAAAAAAAAATTTTCAATTGACATATTCATGATATTAAAAGTCAAAGTTTTTAATAATTAAAAAATAAAAAAATTCATTATGGCTGAACTAATTATCCGATTCCAACGATATAACTAGCGTTGGAATCTTGTTTTGACATAGATTCTTTGTTATTTTTTTGTCCAATTTTCATTTAGGTCGATTTTTTTTTTTATACCAAATTCGGAAATAATTGGCTTCTCCGCCAGCTATCGACTCGAAAAAAACACATATACTCCAATCATTTCTCGAAATTATGCTGCTGAGAAAAAAAATGGCCCGCAGGTTGACAAATAGTTATTTATGTCATTAGGATAAGAAGTAAGGCTTTTTGTGCTAAGCTCAAGGTTTGAGCGAAGCACAAAAAGGCACTTCTTGGCCGAATGGCATACAACATTTTATCTTCAAAGCACTTTATATAGGTCAATTTAATTCAACATCAAAGCGGCCTAACCTCACTTTTTAAGAATTTCATTTATTTATTAGCTAAAGATTATATTAAATGTACAATAATTATTATTGCTTTTAGAAGCAGTAATAGTTTGACAATACCTAGCAACATGATTTAAGTAGAAATGGAATTTTGCTATTACATTGAATTCAATTAATTGTTTAATAAATAGGTAGGTATCTAATTTCAATTTGTTTGGATTATTATTTAAAAAATAGATAGTTTGGAATGTTTAAGCTGTGTTTAATATTTAATTTCACTGAAAACTTAAAGCAAATTAAAACTTAAAGAAAATTTTCTTGGTCGCCTCACTTTTTGTTTTATTATTCATATTTAATTTTACAATAATTTAATTAAAAATATTAAACATTAACAGTAAAACAAACAAATTAGTGCTTATTAAAAATAAATTAAACCAGTTTAGTACGTTAATTTCTTAGAAAAGGGTTAATTTGTCAAAACAATACCTCTAGCAAGAAAAAACTAATTACTTGCCTCATAAAATGTTTTATCGGCCTAGGCCAAAAAAAGGTATTTCTTTATCGAATGTTGACAACAATAAAGTTTAAATTATATACCGCGTGGAGATAAAAGTTATTCGTGGGTGCACCGCGGTGGCCGCTCACGCTCCGAACCGTGTACGCTGTACGCGCTTGTGACGCGACGTCTTACTGTGGTCTGGAATGGTACCTACTTTTCTAATCAAAATTAATTTGTGACCGTAATAATTGACTTAGAGTTTGTTTTTTTGTGTTAAATTCAGAAATAAATAGGCTTTATATTGGTATATACAAAAATAATTTTCGCTCATTATATTTTATTATGTTTTACAAAAAATTAATTTTTCTGATTACACATTTAAAAAAATTATTCTGCCCTTATAAATAAATGTAAAGCCTTGTGGTTTTTGTTTGTTTTTATTAAGAAATTGATTGGCTTTGCTGTGTGGAAGCCAAAAATATTTTATGTCCATAGTATTTTTATAGGTGTAGCGCCAAACTAAATAAATTAATTTTTAAAGTACAGTTTTTGGTAAAATAAAAATTTTGCCTGTATTAATAATCTCAGAGTCTTGTTTTGGTTGTTGATTTATTAAGAAATAAATGGGGTTTATTGTGATAAAAACAAAAATATTTTAAGTGCATTATATTTTGTTTTAAATGGCGCCAAACTTAAATATTAACATTTTTTTATAACCAACACTTTGTGGTAAAATAAAAATTCTGCTTTTTTCGTGATGTAAACAAAAATCTGTACCTACCTACTAATAAACGTATGTGTTCTTTTTTCTATATGGAGCTCGGTCATACATTACATAAGTTTAAATTATAAAATATTTTTATTTTGTTTTTATAATATATTATATATAAGTAACAGCGCCCAAACGGCAAAGAAAATTTTGTTTTAATCTAAAATCTAGACAGGAAAAGTGACACTTTCTCGATTTTAAAAAGACAGTATATCAATATTACATCCATGATTTAACCATGATTAACCATGATGGTTAAAAATAAAAAAAATAGTACAACAATAATAATTTAATTTGCCGTATTCGGCTGTAGTGCAGAAATTAAACGAAACTTTTTTAAAAAAATTCTTAGCCCAGTCAAAAAAATGTTGGGGCGTCGTAATTTGTGAGTTTACGGGTCTCTGTAAACTTGCTCGATAAGCATTTCTTTTAACTGTTCCACCGATTCCGTCACATGCTCCCTTGCCATGTGACGTAGCGAAAAAATTCCATTGCACATTTATGTCAGTTGTTTTTTGTAAATAAGTCATGTTAATAAAGTTTGATTTGTTTTTGTACTGTGACGCTGCACCATCGGGAAAAAAATCATTTTGCGAATATTATCTTTTCCATGAATATCAATCAAATATTGGATCATTTTTCTGTTATATAAATTAACTGCAACAGAATCATATTTGTTACACTCGGATATTATCACAAAGCTATGGTGCATGGTTTTGTCATTTTTCTTAAAATAAATAATGTAAGGGTGAAGAGTAACTTGCTTGTTGGACCAATGGTGCGCTTGAACAGAATCTTGAATAACAAATGAAAAATTTTCAGCAAAATCAAGACTAATAACAAACTCTCCTTCTTGAACATTTTTCTTCGCCTGATTAAAAAAAGTCGCCTGAGATTTTGCGATGTGGTCATGTTGCAAAAGAGGTGGCAATTCAATTTCTAAATCCTTTAGAAAATCGACCGTCGACAGGGTACAAATTGACAGCTCACCTCTAAAAAAATAATGACAAAATTATTACATGAATGTGCAATAACACTGTACGTCATAATGAGAAAAGACATAACAACATAGGTCGGCTTAAAATATTCATTTGATATTTCAAATGACGCTAAGATAATTCAAAATGACGCTAAGCTCATTACCGGCCTGTCCTTTTCCATGATTTGTAAGTAATGTTCTCGATACCATGATTATTGAACAGCTCAATAAAAAACTTTATAGTATGTTTTACACCGGGACAGTTTTGGCACTTTAATAAAAAACACTCTGATATTGAATTTTCACAAACCATGAGTTTGCACACATCAGGAAGAGTGGTCACATTTAGCGCCTTTTTTATGAAACTCGTCATTCATGCCAATAAATTTGAGCCTCATATTTTGATGAATGTGACAAACACACACGTTGTGGGTTCCTTTTGGTCCTTCAGGAATGCAATGACGAGGCCGAAGTTTGGTAAATGTAGATAAACTAATTTTGATTTCAGGTTTTTCCAATTTGAATTTTTCGTGTAATTCATTTATATTATGCAATAATAATCTCTTCTGCACTTGCTCACGAACACCGTTTTTCACAATCGTAACCTATAGTAAATTTAAAAGTAAACTACGTACACGTCATCAATAAAACAAAAATTTTACGCATTGGTACCAACACTAAATGACTAAATCGAAGTCTGTAATTGAATATTTGAATGCATTTTAACCAAATTAAGTTGGCAACAATTGTGATGTTGTCATGTTTACATTCAAATTTTTCATATTTAAATGACACATAAAAAA